CAGATCTGAAGTGTCAAGGTTTACATTAATTATTACCTGCCAGGATATATTTTGGCTCTCCACTAAGCCAGTCTACGAGATCAACAGCTAAATGTAGCTTATAAATTATTCTTTAACTAGGCTTTTTGACAGAGTTTACCATTTTCCATAGTCTATTAAATAAACAGATAGCTAAAGGGGAACAAAGATTCTTTTGAATAAATTTTGCTGTATGTACTAAAAAAATAAACCCAAACTTCCATATTTTATCTTTCAATTGGAAAAGGATGTGATAGGAAATACAATTAGCAGGTATTGTCTTTCAGCACAGCTGCTATTAGATTACAAAAACAATGAACACATATTAAATTTCTCCTCTTGTAAGAACTGCTATAAGTATTTACCACTTTCTTTGCACAAGGGAACAGGCATTACTTCAGTCATTTCAAGACCCGAAACAGCTTCTTATGAAGATAGGTTCTAGAAAAGCAAAACCCAAAGGAATAGATTAAATGAAAACGTTCAGTTGCTTATAGCAATCCCCCACAGAGAAGACAAAATATTTTTGATACAGCACTGTGCATTACCATCCATCATTCTGTTTATCTGTATTGACTTCTGTGGAGCTGTTCTTATTTGGCTTGCAAATTATTCACATAAAGCTTTCTAGATTTCTATTTGGCCTTATCCCTATACAGCACACTAGAAAAGGGAATTTTTTTAAAGCTTTTTTAAAAAAGCATCATGCAGTATACCTATGGGCCTCCCTTTTTTTTTTTTTTTAAAATAGCTGTATGATTCGTAGAGCAGGAGTACAAATGTTCCAAAATTAACAGTTGCTACGATTATATACATCTGAGTCTGGATTTCAATCACTTGACTTGCACAGATTCCAGCCATTACGTTAATAAGAGAGTTTTGTATTAAAATGTACCAATTGCATAGCTGGGGTTTTAGTTTCAATTTCCTGTACTACTCCAGACCAGAAATATTTTTCTCCAGTTTCACATTTAGGGTTTTACACTGCATATACAAAACCTGTCATTGTCGTCTTCCCCGCTCTTTACCCACTGTACATACCAACAGTTCCCAAATTATGAATCTTCCTTGGACTCGTCCCTAAAATAAATAAAAAAAGGGGTGGGGAGAAGAGGGGAGAAGGATCCCCTTATTATACAGAGAAATATAGTAGTATCTTTGTCTAAGAAAAGTCTTCTCTGGCAGAAATCAATACGAAGGCTAAGAAATCAAGATGAGGTTTTTATTACCAGAGATAGCCTCAAGAATCACAGGGGAGAGCCTAACACACAGGCTTTGCTGTAATGTATCTTATGCCCTCTAGCTGTAACAAATTACGCTGTGAATTTCTTGGAGGATTTATATGCCGCTGCTCAGTGCTCTGGGGAGCATTTAATCAGTGGCATTGCTGACCTAATAACAGGGGATCTAAGTAATAGCAATTTTTATGTATGTTATGTGTTATTCCCACAGATTTGGGGATTGGTTTTCTGGAGGAAGGAGGAGGCGAGGGGTAAATGTGCTTTCATAATAGGTTTACACTTTACTGATTAGCTTTGAATGATCTTCTTGCTCTGCCTGCTGACTTGAGTACTGTCAGAAAAAGAATTGGCCAAGCTTCATGGTGAGTGAATGAGACTCCTTCTGAAGCGGGGGGTTCCTCCGCTTTATTTATTCATTTCGAACATCCCTGACAGCCAGCGCAGGCTTTGATGCAGAGGAAAGGAGAAAGAAATAGGAAGTGATCGTGTTATGTTTCCCTTTTTCACAAGGCTGTTTTGTGGAGCTGAGTTTACTGCCAATACGCCTCTTCACGGGGCTCCCTAGGTAGCAGGGGGTGGGGAAGGAGGAGGCAGGAGGAAGATGAATGGAGAGAGAGGTTTTGCACTGAAACTCCACAGGATAGGGAAAGTATTCGTGTCAGGCACTGCCCGTATCGCATTTCACACTCTGTACACACTGCTTTTTATGAAGTTAATGTTAAGGTGGGTGAAAGCTGCCAGGCAATCCATCAGCAGCTGAAGTCTTGCCAACAGGACAGAGACAGATGAC